GAAAGAAAGAGAGAGAGAGAAAGAAAGAAAGAAAAAAATAGCTAGGTGTACTACAGCCTGGGCAACAGAGTGAGTGAGGCACTCTCTCAAAAAATAAAAAGAGAGAGAAAAGAAATGAATAAATGAATAAAAGAAATGAGTGTTCAGCAGCAGCACATGCATCACATTCCCCTGCCTTTTTATAAAAGACAAGAAACAGGGAGCTGGGCACAGTGGCTCAAGCCTGTCATCCCAGCACATGGGAGGTTAAGGCGGGAGGATCACTTGAGATGAGGAATTCAAGATTCAGTCTTTGTAAAAAAAATAAAAAATTAGCCAGTTGTGATGGCACACTCCAGTTTAGGCGATGGAGGGAGGCCCTGGGTTAAATGTTCTTATCACAAAAAAATGAAGAGAGAAGGAGGAAACTTTCAAAAGTGATTAATATATTCATTTACTTGATTGTGGTGATGGTTTCAGAGGAATATACTTACCTCCAAATTAATCAGGTTGTATACATTAAATATAGTACAGCTTTTTGTATGTCAATCATATCTCAATAACTTAGTTAAAAAAGAGTAATCTAAGTATTATTACTTAGATTCCAGATAATGTGCATAATTCAATTTGTTTTAAACCTGCACTCCATTATCTCCAGAAAGGATTTGGGCTTACAAAATTAAGCCCAAAATATGACAGAACTATAATGTTTCTTCTTTTTTTTTTTTGAGAGGAGTTTCGCTCATCACCCAGGATGGAGTACAATGGCGCGATCTCACTGCTACCTCCACCTCCCAGGTTCAAAGGCTTCTTCTACCTCAGCCTACCAACTAGCTGGGACTACAGGCACCTGCCACCACGCCCGGCTAATTTTTGTATTTTTAGTAGAGACGGAATTTCACCATGTTGGCCAGGCTGGTCTTGAACTCCTGGCCTTAAGTTATCTGCCCGCCTTGTCCTCCCAAGGGCTGGGATTACAGGCGTGAGCCACCACGCCCAGCCTATAATGTTTCAACTAAACAGTCAAGTGGCAATTCTCCAAAAATGAGTTACTGAATTAGGTTTTAAAAATCACTGAGCGTGCTGGGCATGGTGGCTCACGCTTGTAATCCTAGCACATTGGGAGGCCAAAGTGGCAGGACTGCTTGAACCCAGAAGTTCAAGACCAGCCTGGGCAACACAGTGAGAGCCTGTCTGATATAGTTTGGCTGTGTTCCCACCTAAATCTCACCTTGAATTCCCAGATGTGTGGGAGGGACCCGGTGGGAGGTAATTGAATCATGGGGGTGGATCTTTCCTGTGCTGTTCTTGTGATAGTGAATAAGTCTCACAAAATCTGATGGTTCTAAAAAGGGGAGTTTCCCTGCACAAGCTCTCATCTCTTCTCTGCTCCCATGTGAGACGTGCCTTTCACCTTCCACCATGATTTTGGGGCCTGCCCAGTCACGTGGAACTGTAAGTTCATTAAACCTCTTTCTTTTGTAAACTGCCCAGTCTTGGGTATGTCTTTATCAGCAACATGAAAATGTACTAATACACCATCTCTACAAAAAAATTAAAAAATTAACCAGACGTGGTGGTGCAGCCCTGCAGTCCCAGCTGCTAAGGAGACTAAAATGGAAGGATCCCTTGAGACCGGTAGGTGGAGGCTGCAGTGAATTATGACTATGCCACTGCATGCTAAACTGGGCAACACAGCAAGAGCCTATCAAAAATATTCACTAAGAGTATGAGTGCAAAGATGAGGAAGGAAGCAGAGTAGAGAAAAGAAATTCAGTACTGGCTGTCACCATAAGAGGTGGTATTAATGCCTTCAAAATTCCTGGAGTCTAGTTTAGAAGTGATGTTTAAAGGTCAGCAGGAAACTTGGAAATAATTAGTGATGCTCTGTACTGACACTGAGAACCTGCTGCAGAAAAATTCTTAATTTGTGGAAGTACTATAACATCTAACGAACTAACAACTAAATAGCAGGCCTGGTGTATCAAAGTAAGGAATATAAAAAGACAGAAGAATTTCAGGAAAATAAAGTACAATGAGACAAGTTCTTAAGGGATGTGCCAGAAACAAACCGCAGCCTCACATGGTAACCTTTTTGTAGAAAGGTCATGAACCCTTTGGGGTTCTGAATGGAAATGCCTAACAAAGTGAGAATTTCTTTTTTTTTTTTTGGAGACAGAGTCTTGCTCTTTTGCCCAGGCTGGAGTGCAGTGGTGCAATCACAACTCACTGCAGGCCTCAACCTCTAGGGCTCAGGCAATCCTCCCACCTCAGCCTCCTGAGTAGCTAAGACTACAGGTCCATGCTACCACACCACTAATTTTTGTATTTTTTGTGAAGACAGGGTTTCACCACATTGTCCAACCTAGTCTCAAATTCCGGAACTCAAGTGATCCACCTGCCTCAGCCTCCTGAAGTGCTGGGATTATAGACATAAGCTACCACACCCAGCCTGAGAATTTCTTACAATTGAGAAGTAGTGACTAATTTTCTTCCAGGCCCTTTTCTGGAAAAGAGCAGTTTCTAAGGGGATGATACGCCAGTTATTCTGTATCTCAATTTTTCTCCCAAGTAATACTATGAAATTCCATGCCTTGAAAAGAAAAACTGTTACCTGAGCACCACTACAATTGGACTTTCACTTCCAGTTATTACCATTAATCCCTTCCAGATCATTAGTGCCGATGAGACAATCATTCCAAAATTTAGGACTTGGTAATAGAGCTGCAAGAACAAAAGAGAAGTGATCAGATCCACCATTATCTCCTCTTAGAAAAGCAATTGAGAGCCATATCAATTTGAAGGCTTCAAGCAGTACTAATAGGAAAACTAAAGTTCTGAGACATTCTTTATAATAATTATGCCATCAGCATATCAAAACAGTCCCCCTTCTTTCACCCAAAGCACTTATTTTAAGAACTTTTCACACAAGTTATTTCATTTGGGTTCCATAATCATTCAGTTTAAATTTAATCACAGTCATGCTACCTACCAGCCAACAGTAATGTATGTCTCCTTCTGAACTCCTCTATTCCTTTTTTCTTTTGAGATGGAGTCTCACTCTGTCACCCAGGCTGGAGAGCAGTGGTACCATCTTAGCTCACTGCAGCCTCCGCCTCCTGGGGTCAAGTGATTCTCCTACTTCAGCTTCCCGAGTAGCTGGGACTACAGGAATATGCCATCATGTCCAGCTAATTTTTTTTTGTATTTTTAGTAGAGATGGGGTTTCACCATGTTGGTCAGGCTGGTCTCGAACTCCTGATCTCAAATGATCCGCCCACCTGTGACTTCCAAAGTGCTGGGATTACAGGCATGAGCCACGTCACCCGGCCCTCTATTATTTTTCTGCCATACTTATCCTTTGGTAATCATGGGATAGATAATGATGTATAACTCTAACCTCTCATTTTACAGATAAGGAAACTGTCTCAAAAAGAGGAGACTTCACCAAGTCCTATAGCTTATCAGTCACATAGTCAAGACTTGAGGGTTGGCCTTCTGTGTTACTAAATTTCCAGTACTCCACAAATTCTAAAATTCTGTGACTTGAATAAACAGATAAAACACCTGAAGCTATTTCAATTTCAAATAAAGAAAATCCAGAACATGTGGAAAAAGGCAAAAAAAAAAATTACAAAATCAGATAAGAGAAATAAAGTGAGCTAACTGTTTTGGGCCAATGCTGGAAAAAGTAGAGAGGATGACTGGACACCAAGGGGAATAGTTGAAGGAATGAAAAAAGCTGGTACTGGAAAGTACTGGGAGAAATCTGAAAAGCATATTAAGGTCCAATTATGGAGACACTTAAACCCAGGACTGAAACTATGGACCCAACAAAACATCAGTAATAAAAAGTGAAAAACAAAAGTTTCAAAAGGTCTTACTCTGTCATCTGGGCTGGAGCACAGTGGTGTGATCACAGCTTACTGCAACCTCCAACTCCTGGGCTCAAGCAATCCTCTCACCTCAGCCTCCTAAGTAGTCAGACGTGGTAATTTTTGCATGTTTTGTAGATGTGAGGTTTTGCCATATTGCCCAGGCTGATCTCGAACTCCTGAGCTCAAGCAATCTGCCCATCTCAGCCTCCCAAAGGGCTGAAATTACAGGTGTGAGCCACCATGCCTGGTCACTGTTGTTGTTTTAAGATTTGCTTGTGGACATTCTAGAAAACTATCCTAGTCTCTTCAAAAATCCAATGTCATTCAATGCCATGGGAAAAAATGTGGATGACTGTTCTAGATTAAAAAGGACTAAAGAGACCTAACAACCAAATGCACAAACTTCGGTTTCTTTGTTGTTTTTTTATTTCCTTCTCATTCAGTTCTAATAATGCACAAACTGGCTGGATCTTGGTTCAAAAAAAAACAAAGAGCATAAGAAAAAATCCCAACTATAAAAGACATTTTGGGGTGAATTGAGGAAACTCAAAATATGACTTGAATATTAAATGACACTAGGAAATTTGTGGTTTTTTTTTTTTTTTTTTTGAGACAAGGTCTTGCTCTATCACACAGGCTGGAGTGCAGTGACATGATCTCAGCTCACTGCAAACTCTGCCTCCTGAATCCAAGTGATTCTTGTGCCACAGCCTCCCAAGCAGCTGGGGTTACAATAGGCATGCATCATCACGCCCGGCTAATTTTAGAAGAGACAGGGTTTCACCATGTTGGTCTCAAACTCCTGGCCTCAAGCAATCCACCCGCCTTGGCCTCCCAAAGTGATGGGACTACAGGTGTGAGTCACTGCACCCGGCCTTTAATTTCTTAAATTATGTGATAATGGTGTTGTGGTTATGTAGAACACTGTCCTTATCATAGAAGATGCGTATTAGTAGTAGTTAGCTAATAGTTGTAGTTAAAGGTGAACTGTCGTATCTGTAACTCATTTTCAAGTGATTAAGCAAAAAAAAAAAAATCCTATACATGTACACACACATTAAGTATACACAGAACAAATATGGCAAATATGCTAACAATTGTTGGATCTGTGTGGCAGATTACAGGTGTTCCCTGTAATATTCTTTCAATTTTTCTGAAAAGTTCAAAAAAATGCATAGAAAAAATGGAAGAAGCCAAGTGCAGTGGCTCACGCCTATAATCCCAGCAATTTGGGAGGCTGAGATGGATGGATCACTTGAGTCCAGAAGTTAGAAACCCTATCTCTATTAAAAACACAAAACTTAGCTGGGTGTGGTGGCACAAGCCTATAATCCCAGCTACTCAGGAGGCTGAGGCACAAGAATCACTTGAACCCAGGAGGCAGAGTTTTCAGTGAGCTGAGATGGCACAATTACACTCCAGCCTGGGCAACTGAGCAAGACTCTTTCAAAAAAAAAAAAAGAAGAAAATGTTAGTTGTTATATCTGGAGGTGTAATACTAGGCAATTGTTTATTTCTTTTTCTTTTTCTTTTCTTTTTTCTTTTTTGAGATGGAGTCTCACTCTGCGGCCCAGGCTGGAAGTGTAATGGCGAAATTTCGGCTCACTGCAACCTCCACCTCCTGGGTTCAAACAATTCTCCTGCCTCAGCTTCCTGAGTAGCTGGGATTACAGGTGCCTGACACCAAACCCGGCTAATTTTTGTATTTTTTTTAGTAGAGACGGGGTTTCACCATGCTGGCCAGGCTGGTCTCCAACTCCTAACCTCAGGCAATCCGCCCGCCTTGGCTTCCCAAAGTGCTGGGATTACAGGCATGAGCCACCGTGCCCAGCCCTATTTCAATTTGATCATCTATATTTTCTGCTTCTTCCCTTTTTAAATTAATTGTTATTTCTATTGAAACACTATACACACATACGTACAAGAACACGTACTACAGCAATATCCTAGCCATGGCAGGCCACCTACAGCAACCACTTTTATCTCTTTTAGCTATTTATTCTGGTATTTACCCCCATCATTCTAAAAACGAATTGTTTCTTTTCTTTCATACTAGGGAGTTAATACATGATGAGGGGCTAGGCACAGAGACTTATTCCTGTAATTCCAACACTTTGGAAGGCCAAGGTGGGAGGATCACTTAAGCCTGGAGTTCGAGACCAGCCTGGGAAACAAAGCAAGACCCTCATCTCTATAAAAAATACAGAAAAAGGCCAGGTGTGGTGGCTCATGCCTATAATCCAACATTTTGGAAGGCTGAGGCAGGTGAATTGCTTGAACCTAGGAGGCAGAGGTTGCAGTGGGCCAAGATTCTGCCATTGCACTCCGGCCTGGGCAACAAGAGTGAAACTCTGTCTCAAAAAAAAAAGAAAAGAACAGAAAAGAAAAATTAGCTGGGTGTGGTGATGCATGCCTGTAATCCCAGCTCAGCTCAGCTTCTTGGAGACTGAGGCAGGAGAACCACTTGAGCCAAGGAGGTAGAGGCTACACTGAGCTATGATTATTGCCCCACTGCATTCTAGCCCAGGTGCCAGAGCAAGACTGTGTCTCAAAAAATAAATTAAACTGTGCTGCGGAATCCAGCTCTCTTGTACCATTTTCTGTTTTTTTCTCTACAATTAACCTGTTTTTCCTGCATACTTTTTTTTTTCTTTTTCTTTCTTTCAGCTCCTCCAAAGCAGAATCCTGCATACTTTTAAAAAAAGTTTTAAGTTTCATATTCTTATAAATGCACAGTTAATCTCTGAAAAGACAGACAGGTAAGTGGAGAAGAGTGTGATAACCTGCTTTTTGCTAGCTAAAACTAACTCTCTCTTTCTCAGACTAAAATTGTTCACGCTTTATGTTAGCTCCTTTAGCCAGACAGACTCCATCTTAGCTTCTTCATTTTAGTTATTTTCCCACCATTAAGTATGTAACTATAGTATATAGCTGGGGCAGGCTGACACTGGGCACCTCCAGGAATGCATTTGTTGATAAGGGGCCGAGTTAAGTGGTACCAGAAGAGCCTGGGAATGTAGGTGCTGTTGAGCCCAGAGCCCCCATTATCTATAAGTTGTGTGTCTTTCATGACAGCTTTACCCCTCTCACCTGGCACTGTTTTATTTCTCATGTATCGGTTTATCTTTTAACTTTTTTGCTTACTCTGCTTTTGTGAAAAATTTGCTTCAGCTAGGTTCCCCCTCACCTTCAAAACTAGGGTATAAAAGACCACCTAACTCTTTCTTAGGGGCTGAGAGAATTTTGGGCATTAGCCACCTCTTGGTCGCCGGCATAATAAAGGACTCATAATTCAATCTCAGAGTGTGGCGCATTCCTTGACTCGCTTGGGTACAAGAGGAACCAGGAGTCATGGTTGACGGAAAATACTTTCTGATATACATACTTCACGTTTTTACAAGATGCAAGTATTACTTGTTCAGAAGTAAACTGTTTAGTTTTATTTTTTTAAGTCCATGCTAATGGCCACAACTATTTTTCCAGGATTCCAATGAAGTGTGATGTACTCAATCAATGTAATCAATCAATTTCCAAAGGAAAAAAGAAAATATGAACATTTTCTCAGAAACACTTAGAAATACTTGCTGTTCTTTGAGTAATGGAGTGATTTAAGCACATCGTAATCTGAAACTTACTTTGACATGTTTGCAGGTGAGGAAACTGAGGCACAGAGAAGCTAAGTGATATGCTCATGGCTGCATATCTACTGGTTGGCAGAGCAGCACTATTAGAACTCAAGTCTCCTAAATTCTACATCTTCTAGATGGTGGCTTTTTAAAAGACAAAATGGATCCTTTTTAATCTGAAGGCTGAATTGAAGAAGTGGAGTGGGAGATGATAGAAGCC